TGCTACTCACATATGGCCTCGTGAAAATTTTTGGCAGGATAATAGTTAACTCGGGAACCAGGAAACCGGGAGGCTGAAATTTTCAAAGAATGTTCCCAGCCCATGTACGACTTAAATTTATTAAACTCAATCCCCGGGCTTGCGTGGTTGTCACGTGCAGCCCCGTGAAAGTTTTTGGCAGGAAAATTGCTTACTGAAGAACCGGAAAATTTAGAAAGCTGAAATTTCAATGAAATGATTCCTCTCCAAATACCGCGTAGAAAATTAACTTCTCGGACTTCGAGGACCAGTTCATCACACATTTCTAACTACTGGGTTGCCGAGCGACAACACGAAATATTACAAAAACGCATGATCGCAGGATCCTCCCGGTGCGTGTCGCCAATGATTGTTTGTTGAGGAATGAGCACGATCAGTTTATTGTGACCGTTTCAGTCTGATGCAATCCGCTTCAGTACCCGCGTCACGTTATCTGAGAATTCAGCACGTCAGTACGAGCAAGAGCGCCGCTTACTGCGTGAACAAAACGAAGTACTGCAGCGTAAACTGTTGGAGTGTCAGGAGAAAACATTGGCCTTTATGCAAGGCGACCAGGCAAGCAATGCACAGGCCGTGGCACTCTATCTGAACGACATCTTGAAAACGACGTTTCTTCGATAATCTTGCTTCTCTTTCGTCCTTATCAATCAGTCCTATTTTTTACCTTCTCAGAGCGCTGTTTTTATTAATTTAAGCAATTTCATCGTTGTTGCCCTTTTGATGCTTTTTGCTTTCGCTGATTTCTAGTGCCCATTTACTTTAACTTTTCTTAGCCGAGGCAGCAAAATCAAATTGGTTTCAGTTTTTATAGTTCGCTATAATCTTTGTATGAGAACATAGGCTCCTCATTCACTTAAAAAAATGCGTTCCAAGTTCTGCGACAAAATTGCAAATTTTGCTGCTTGAAAGAGCCTTTGATTCAAGTAATTGTTTCACTCGCTTCTTCTTGCTGTGTTCCGGTTCTTCTTGCTTCATCAAGGTTCAAGCGTTCGAGATCACTCGGGCGTCCCCCGAAAAGTAGCACATATAATATCCACAAGCGGCAGGTCCTAACTAAAGCCATGCAGCTGAGGATCGAACGGTCTGGCATAACTGGCTTTGCGTGTGGGAGCATCCTGATAACGGCACTAACAGGGAATCCTCGCACTAATACGTCCGAGTTCTCTTAGTGTTCTTGACATGAGAGAAGAAAGCGTCCAATACTTGTCAGTTACTGTCCGTTGATGTGCGCATCTT